GAGCATCCCTGCCAACTAGAGGCTGTTTAGAAATGCATGCTCCAGTCCCACTCAGACTTACTGAGTCTGAGTCTGTGTTAGCAGATCTTCTGGTGACTTGTAAGCACATTAAAGTTTGAGAAGTGCTGCTATCATCTGTGAACAAACACAACCCCAGCTGTGGTGTATTTCTGGAATGTGACGGTTCTCTAAAATGTGATCGCTGAACCAGAGGCTTCAGCTTCACTTGGAAACTTGGTGGAAACGCAAATCTTAGAGCCCTCCCCCAGACCTACTGAATTGAAAACTTTGGGGGTAGTAATCTGTTTTGGTCTTCCAGGTGATTCTGATGAACCCACAAAATCCTTTTAAGGCCATGTTAGCCTCACACCTATGCTCAACCAGGAGGCAGCAGTGACACCCTGTGGAGCCAAGGAAAGTCTGCATTTTTTCTGACAGTACCTGCTGTTTTTCCTGCAGTAGGATAAAACCTTCCATCACCTGTGTTCTTTGCATTAAAAACACAATGCTGATTTCTTTTTCTAAAAATTATTTGCTTAAGGGTCTTGTGCCCATTTCAGTCACGCAGACTAGATTCTTTGATTCAGCAAACATTTATTGATCATCGACTCTGTGCAAAGGCTTGTAAAAGAACTAATATAGAAGATAGAATGATCAAATTTCCCCTCAGAGGAAGCTAATCAGTTTTACCTATAACAAAACTGGTACCATTTGGGTATTATCTATGTGACGGACACTGTGTTAAATGATTTCCAAAAATCCCTCAATCCTTATGTGCTTAAAACATGTTATTCCCATTTTATAGGAAGGAATATGAGGACTGATCGTAGTTTATGCTCTTAATCACACAGGAGTTTCTTTCTTGGGTTGCCATCAAAGATTTGTGGAGCACTGTATAGAGATAATCAAATATGTCTTTTAGAGATATCTAGGTGGTGGCAGTAAGAATGGAGTTGAGGAGGTGTTGTTGGTAGACTGACAGTGTTAGCAGAAGAAAAGAATATCACATTGAGATATCAATGCCAGATGGCACTTTCAATCCATTTCCTAAGTGGCTTGCTCCTTGTATGGTATCTCAAATTCTTCGCTCAGGAAAATTCAATTTTTTAAGAGTTGAACAGAATCTAGGCTAAAAACCCAGAACCAATTACTAAGAAAATAGCTTAGATACAATAATTTTTATAAGATAAACATAAATTCAGAATTGAAGGTTTAAGAGTCATAGCAAAATTTTCAAATAATTAAAAAATATTCGGAACCTGTTTTAACCACAGATTGTCTCTTGAGTTCTTTTGGACGCTTTTCTTTTTTGAGTTGTTATATCACTTTAAATTTTCAGCTTTTATATTTCAAACCTGAAAATTCCTAGCTATTTTAGCATTGGTTATGCAAGTTGTGTTATGCCCCCTGGTGGCAATATGGATAGAAAGATGAGAAGCATATTTCAATCATAGGCAGAGTACCAACTTAATTGAAATAGGTGGCAGACCCTGAATTTGAAATGGAATTTCATATAAAACTTTTCTGGCCTTACTAAAAATAGGAAACATCCCGTTAAACTAAAATCAGATGTATTAACTTCGGCCTGCGAGGTGCATATTTCAATTTCCCTTGCTTTGTCATAAAATGGATTAGCTTCTTGAAATATGTCAGTTGAACTTGAAATTAAATATTTGCTCTACATATAGCTAAGTAGCTGAATTCATAAAAGATAACTGAGGTCTGTGGCTGCACAGCATTTTCTTTGAGGTCAGCCTCAGCACATGCCACAAGCACGTGATGACATTTGCTTCTTCAGAGTATTAATTTCTCTATATTTATATAAAAGGTTAGATGGCTCAAACAGTCTCTTTCAAGAAGGCTCTGGGGAAAACTTCTAAAGTTTATAATTCTTTAATAAAAAACAGTCAAGTATAGGTTTTAGTGGATTGTACTGAAGGCCTCTTGATTAAGCTTTTCTTGTTTGGGGGCAAAAATAGATGAGTAGAAATAGCAAGCCTCCAGAACATAGGTTGATATTTGGTGTGAAAAAATGCATAACAGTTTCTTGCTAGATTAAGATAAACCTGGCCCCAATGGCTGTATTATTTAATCAGAGAAGAGAAAAATGGCTATTCCTTAAGTAAGCATTTAAATGACAACCAGTCACTTAAATGGACCATGTTAGACTAGAAATACTAGCACAGATGTAGTCACCAGCCTCAAGAAACAGAGTACAGCCAGATGGAGAACGTATTAAAAAAACCTACAATACAAAAAATACAAATGATACTGAAAATAATTTTTAAAAAAGGAAAAGCTGAAAAACAAGTATTTTCCAGTTAAACAAAGGAAAGATCTTATAAACTAAGGGAAGAAGTATATAAACACATGGAAGTGTGAAGTGCTAAGAAACTAAAGGAGAAAGTTCAAATAAGAAATGGTAAGAAAAAAAGGCAACAGTATGGATTATGGTCTTGAAACTCATCCAAGTTTACTTTATCCTTAAGTGAAAGTCCCAAGAAAAAGTACTTAACAGGTCTGTTTATTAAGTAATCAAGTCCAAAAACCTTAATAGGCATTTACATCTTAACAATGTGTACTTAAGAAAAATACAAACTGAAAGAGTATTTTTATTTTACTTTTTTTATTCATTTATTCATATGTGCATATACTGTTTGGGCCATTTCTCCCCTCTGCCCCCTATCCCTCCCCTCACTCCCCCTTATTCTACTCTTAAATGACCAATTAGTAATTGGATGTCTGTGCTTATTGGATATTACAATTTCCCAAAGTCTGTCCCATGAATTTCAGATGATACCTATTTCTTTTCTTGTTTTTTGAGACAGGAGCTCCTTATACAGCCCACGCTGGCCTCAAATTCATGATTCTCCTGTGTAGCCTCTGGAGCGCTAGGACAAAGGTGTATACACACTACCACACCTAGCTGATACTTGCTTTTTATCACAGCGAATGCCAAAAGCCCACCTTCACAAAGACATTTGATTGACAGGAATGCAGAGCAGTCTAGCATTGAAACTCTGTACTACCTTGAGCTAATAGTTTGCAGTGGTATCTGACAGTTACTAAGTGTTGCTGCATCCTTTGGAAATTTAAAATATTCCATGGTTCCCTGAGAGTTCACTATGGCATCCTAGCAGGGTAGTTTGAAAAGCCAAAAAATTTTGCATACATCAGACTGTGGTTAGTCAGCATTGAGTTATTACAATAAAATGCCTGAGAAAATCGACTTATAAGGAAGATTTATTTTAGTTGGAGTTTTCAGTTCATGACTGATTGGCCCTGCTGCTTTGGGCCCAGTGAGGCAACACATCATGGCGGAGAGATGCAGCAAACTATTCATCTCAAGGCTAGAGTGGGAAAAAAGAGAAAAAGGAAGAGGTGGGGGTCCCACTAGTCCCTCTAGTGCATGCTCCCAATGACTGGAAGACTTCCCATTAGGCTTACCTCTTAAAGTTTCTACCACTTCAAATAGTACCAAGCCGGGAACCAAGCCTTTCACATGTTGGGGATGTTCCAGATCTAAAATATATTAATGACATAATCTAATTTGCATATTAGAATACTGTACTGTAATGCCTGCGTAGAGGTGATGGGAATTGAGGATTACCACCAGATTATCAGGTAAGAAATGGTGAAGATACAAACTAGAACATGAGCAAAGGAGACATGATAGGGAGATTTGGGTTACATTCGTCTGTGGTTCTTGCTAATTGAATAGATATAAGGGAGTGAGATGTAATGGCATAAGAGAAAAAGTAAATGGCTTCTTTTCCAACATGGGCAAAAGTGTAGTTACTGATACTCTTCACAATATGTTCTTAACTATTTGATAATTGTATTTGAATTTAATTGGTTTCTCTTCTCATTTCTATATTTTATTTCATGCATGTAAAATATTATTCTGAAGCAGTCTATTAGTCTTAAGAGAAGCAAAATGCACATGAATAGACTAACATTATATATGTTTATCTGTAGGTATGTTTAATTCAAAATTGAAGCCAGGGGTATTTATAAATTTTCAAGGAGGAAAATAAGAGGTTGTGACGAAGAGGGTCAAGACAGAAGGCTAGAACTCAAACATTTAGTGGTGAACAGAGAATGGGACAAATGAAAAAAAGCACTGGACAGGTAGACTTTAAGGAAGATGAAGATTAAACAGTATCCATGGAACTTTAATAACTAGGTACTTTTTGCTGACCTTAGAAATTCAGAGGATTAGTAGGAAAGACTCAAGTAGAGAACAGGTTTTCAGAACTTTGAGAAAGAACAACAACAATAACAACAACAACAAACCAGTGGCTACTTGTGTGGATAGGTCCATGAGGGTTAAGTTTTCTTTAAACATGAGAGATTTGGTCATGTTTACACCTGTTATCTAGACTCACAAGCAGACTTTTGTATGCACTAAAAGTCATAACTAGTTAAAGAGAAGCAAGGAAAGGACAAGGGAATAGCTCAATTTTGCATCCCCATCCATTCCTCCCTAGACACTATTTCGCACCTATTCCAAGGCTTTTCTTCTTACTGAAAACCTGGTTCCTATGTGGTTAGTTATCTCTGACAAAGAGGAAAGTGCTGAGAACTTCTGTGCCTCTAAACAGTAATGGGTGATGAGCACCAAGTGACTATCATGTGCCAGGCACTATTCTAATCACTTCACATGCTTCAACTCATTTCTTTTTTCAGAAAAATGCCAACAGCATCAAAGAAGTAACGGATTACTACACTCAAATTTCCTCTTTCAAATAACTGCGTTAGATAGTGCGGTATAGTTAGGCAAGGTGGCACCACTATAGTACTGGTACTCAAGAAGTAGAGATGGAAAGGATCATGAGTTTGAAACCATAAAACCAACAGAAAAAACATATTTCAAAAGTAACTATTTCTGTTTTGCTCCAACCAGTACACGAATAACAGAGACATGGAAAGTTGCGCAAGTTATTTTAATTATAAATTAGCAAAAGTCTACCTTAAATGCAAACTTATAAAATGACCACTTATGAGGTTCTATAAAAACTGACTGAATCAACATTACTTGATATTTCTGATATGTTCACTAGCTTCAGTTTAACTATTCCCTTCCCGAGTAGAAATTAAAAAACAGCAAGCCATCTAGAAAAAGATTTGTTATCTGCATCAATCAGGCTGACATTCTGAACATCCTCTTCTTCAGTTCAGCTGTTCTCTCATCTATCCTGGCATAGCACTCCTCTGCTGCCTTTTCAATGCCTTCGTGGTATTTCTCCAAGGCAGTTTTCAAGTTCACAAATATTTCCTAAATGGAAAATGAAACAGTAAGAATTATTCCATGTAACAACCTAGTCTAAAAATGAGTTACGAGAACTCCAAGTTCCATTCATATTTATCAATCGTATGCTAAAGCCTAAATATTTATGCATACGTACATGCAAGTGTATGTCCACTCTTACTAAAAATTGATTCTGTAGGTTGTATAAACAGAATTGTTTATATAGGTTGTAAAAATAAAAAAAGCCTACTACTTAGGAAAAAAAAAAAGCAGAGACATGTCACAATGGCCTAGATTCTAAGACATTAAGAACAAATATTAACCAAAGAAAAAAACTTTTCCTATGGAGCTTTCCATGTGACACACAGAAAATACCTAATTACTGTGGATAATCATAACCTCTACCCATTGTGTAAAAGATATTCAAATAGACATAAGCAATCTGTAAGAATGAAAAATAATACTCTTAGAATTGTTTTAATAAACTCATCAAGTACTTCTACTATAAGCAATGAGTTTCCATACAAGCACAGATGGATGTCCTAATACTAAACAAGAAGTAAGCAGAGCCAGTTTTATATAGACTGAATAAAATAAGAAACAAATTAGCCTGTGTACCTTTTCTTCTGTTTGATATTTATCAAATTTAATACTGATCTTTTATTATTCATTTTCCTTAAATAAAAAAAAATGATCAAAGCACAAAAATATCAAATCATGATACAATCAACAGTGGTGTTCTACAAGGTTACAGGATGTGTTCCTTACTAGAATAAAAAAGCAGGCCTTTTTCCAATGGGGTAAGAAAAGCAGTAAATTGATATAATGCTCTCAGTTTTAAGTATCTCCTATTGAATTTGTTCTAAACCTATCTATCTGTCTACTATATATCTTTGCTTAAATTATTGTTTAGATATTATCTGCTTTTGAATAAATTTCATAGATTACAATTCAATACAATGTGTATATACAGAGTTCGAGAAAAGCCTATTTCTAGCACCTCTGCTACTTATGTAAGTTTGAGAACTATCACTCCAGATTAAGCATATATAGTTATATATACATATGTAAATATATTTATGCATACATGTATATATACGCACACATTTAAAATCAAATAATCTCCGGAAATGTGGTTATTAAATCCAAACATGGTTGTTAAATCCTGATACAAAATAGAATGTGTTTAGATTTCTAAGTTCTAAGTTGTTATCAAATAACTGCAAGTATGATAGATATGAACCATTATGAAAAAAATTAAAAAATTCTGAAAGCTTTATTTCTTAAATCTTGCAGGGAAAACAAGGTGAATTAATTCCTAGCTAATCTGAATGCCATTAAAAAAAAAATCAGTGCATTCAGCAGCTACAGATCAATTTAAGTTGCTAGTTCCATTGGAGTACATGTTTATTCATACTAAAAGGAAAGCTGAATAAATTTGGTAGGAAGATATTACTTGTGAGAAACTATTAAAACTAAGTGTGGCTAAATAAAGACCTACAATCTGTAAATAAATGAGCCAACTATTTCCACACACCCAAAGAAAGGAACACTTTTCTCCTGAGAATAAACACACTCTGAAGGAGGAGCAAGTCAAGTAGAAGGAGATACAATAAATGAAGGAAACAGTAAAGCCCAGTTCTACAAGTGGAACTTTATAATACTAGCTCACAATAATTCATAGTAAGTGAGTCTTACTATGATGGCTTATTGAAGGTAAATATTCTTAAAATTGGAGTCTAGGGCTGGGGATGTAGCTCAAGTGGTACATTGGACACATACACACAAAAGTAAAAAAATCTAGTAATATGGTTATTAGTAGTCACTTATGGTTATTTAAATTTAACAAAATTTAAGTTAAATTCAAAATTCAGTTTCTCAGTCACACTAGACACTTCTCAAGGGCTCAATGGTCATGTGTGCCTAGTGGATACAGTACTGAACAGTCTAGAAGAACATCCCATTACTGAGGTTCTATTGGACAGCATTGGTCCAACTGCCTTTTTTATTTTGGCAGTACCAAGGTTTGCTCAAGCTTCCTAAGTAGGCGCTCTACCACTTGTGCTACTCTGCCAACCTTCATTTATACTGGGTGTTTTTGAGATAGGGTCTTGCTTTTTGCCTGGGCTGGTCTTTAACCGTGATCATCCTCATCTCTGCTTCTGATTTTTCAAATCTTCTGATTTTTCAAATCAGAGAAATTTAAGATTATACAATATCCATGGAGTTCTACAGCCAGTGTCACAATTAGTCTCACAAATATGTATTTTAATTCATCAACCAAATATTATTATTGAGTACTCTCTACAAATAGCACTATAAATAACACAAGATGCAATGTTTTCTACCCTGAAGGAAAACATAACCAGACCAGAGTAGACACTGAGTGCTTGAAATATAGCTAGTGAAAATGAGGAACTAAGTTTTAAATTTTATTTCATTATAATTAATGTCATTATAAATAACCACATGTTGCTAGTTAGCTACTCAACTGGACAGCACCAATCCAAATAATTTGGAATAGACTAATGCTGCTATAGTATTTGAGAAAGGACAGAAACCAAAGATTCCTGAAAGGAGTAGGAGAAAGTAATATGGAAGAGATAATATTGAACCTTAAATAGAAATGATTAAGCTTAGATACAAAACTCTGAAGGTCTCAGAGGCAGTGATCATGTCTTCTTGGTTTACATACAGCTTACTCCTTAAGTCAAAAGCAATGCCTGGAAATTAGTAAATATGTAGGATGTTTATTGAAATACTGACTGAAAATTTTAGGCAATGCATTTGTTAGGAATGAATCCACAAACTGCAGGAAAACAAGAAGGTCATATCTTAAACAAGAAAGAATAATATTTAGAGTGATGTTTTAGCAAGACAAATCTGGTAGTACATAGTATTCAGGGAAGATTTGATGCAAGAAAATTATAATGAAGGAAGAAATTTAGCAAGTTTTGCTGCAACTTATGAGTCTAACAAGATTATGTGATAAATGTATAAATACAAATGGATGGTTATGAATAGTGTCATTGATTTAAAAGTCATGACATTGATTTGGTGAGTCTGAGGGTCAGGATTGACTAATGCAAGTCCAAAATCTGAATTCTTTGATAGAAAATGATGATGCCGTAGAGAAATATGAAGAAATGGAATGAAAAGTAGAAATGGGGAGGGGAAAGAAGAGAGTAGAGAAGAGGGCAGATGTAGTATAAATGTTACTTTTGTTGTTAGCGGCCAGAACAGGAAACAGGTTTTTGAGAGCTATCCAAATAAAGACAGTGACTGAAATTGCAAGTGGGAGGAATTATCCTTGCACAAGAATATTTCATGAAAAAGGGATATGGCGATAACAAGTATCCAACAGAACTGCACAAACAAGGTGACAGTGTTCACATCCTTTTTTTCCTTTCACAGAAGATGATTATGGAGCTAAAGAGAATTCTTTGACAAAAAGTGATCTGACTTCACCAAAGTGTCTACAGATGTTTCCATGCCACTGTAGAACAAATGGCTATCACAATGTAGTCTGGGTAAAGGTAGGTCAGAACAACTTAGCAAGTTAATCAATAATTCTCTGCTACTGTGAAGAAAAAAAAAATACAAAGCAACAAAGAGCCCAGTTCTACTTAACATTTTTATCTTGGTGAAAAAGACATGTTGATCAAATTTGCAGGTGTCACCAAACACTGAAAAAGGATGAGGATTTAATTGACCTTGATATTTTAGGAAGTTAGGTTGAAATAAAACCTAAAAGCTGTAAAATCATGAATTAAGATAACAGTTTCACTAATAAATAATCTTGGACTGAGAACAGGCATCTGGTATGTTTCATCTTCCAAAATGAGATTATAATGTCAAACATAAAATGTTTACCTGTCTCTATCTTTCAACTGCCAGTATCTCAAGCAAGTTGTCTATTCCTAATGCATTTATTATGCCTCCATTCTCTTCATGAAGATACCAGCTTGATTTATATCTTCAAAATTCTCCTACCAAAACAACTATACAAACTGCTCTACTGGAAGTTGCTAAAAATATCCATTTAGTATGCACAATCCCTTGGCCTCCTTTTCTCCCTTAATTCATCTGATACCTTATATAAAAGTTTCTGAAGCACACTCATATTTGATACCTAAACACTTGCTGTCACTACCTTCCACCATACAAACCCAATTTGTGAAAAGCCTTAATTCTAAAAGAGGCACCGTGGATAATCTTACCTTTTCTGACATTTTTAGGAGGTAAGAAAAAAGGTAGAGATGGAGAAATATACTCAAAATAAGCAAGTAGTAGATTTATTAAGTAATTTTAGATAATTATAATAAGGATATTAGAAGTTTCATAACACAAAGGGACCAATCTAAGCTCCCCCAATTAACAACACAAATACACTTACCATTAATGCTAGAAAATACTTTTGAGACCCTTCTATTACAAAAAAAATACAGAAAGTTTTTAGAGGACGTTACTTAAAGTCACTATCCAAGTCCATTTACCAAATAAATTCAGAACCTTTATTAAGCAACTACTTTCACTATAAAGAATGATATTTTGCTTTGTGTTATCAGGGTAAAAAGGCAAGGAAGAGGAAAGACATGGAGATTTTTATGCAAACTATACAAGGATAACCGAAAAGGTGTTATACTTCTGTGGAGTCAATTTCTACTCCACAGAAGTAACAAAATTCTTCTTAATAAAGAGGACATAATTTATATTTTAAGTGCATGAAATTATCTGAAAATGAATTTCTATGAACACATTCTCACCTGGGACTTCAGTTTCTCCCTTTCAGTGGCATCTTTTAGTTGCTGAATCCCAAATTTAATTTTTTGGATTTCTTGATTAATTGTGGTTACTCGCTCAAAGACAGCACCTCTTTTTTCTTGAACTTTATTGCAATCCCTAAAGGAAAATAGACAGCTGAGGTAACACCTCTTACGAATTTTAAAAGGCAAACACTTAACTCTAATTTTGATTTCAAAGTGATGTGTCAGTATTTGCTTGACAAACTTAAAATTCTTCTCAAGATATAAAAGCAAATAGATGAAAATCCCAAAGTGTGCTGCTATTGGCACATCAGAGCATACAGTAAGCGCTTTCATCCAAGAGCTATTCTTTCTTTTGCCAGTGGTGGGGAACATATGTAGGGATTGTTAGTGCTAGGTAAATGCTCTACCACTGAGCTACACCCCCAGCTCTCAAAGCTACTCTTCACAAAGAAGACCTTAAGCTGTATTTCCTCAGTTATGCTTATTTATGTACTGTTAGTGGGAGTGCGAATCAGTACATCTCTTCTGAAAAATAGTTTGGCAACAAATACAAAATCCTTAGGTTCTGCCCTTTTCTTTCATTTGCATGACAATGTGCAAAGGAAATACTCAGAAGGTCCCTAATGCCATTTTTAGGAGTCCCTAAAAATGACATCCTAGACCTATCTGTGGTATATATTGTAAAAACACGTTCTCAGAACTAATGGAAAAAAGACCCTACTCCAACATACTGGCAAAAAAAAAAAAAAAAGCAAAGTATTACTTCTTACTGGATAACAAAAATAAGACCTATTCTCAAAATGGATGCTATTAATTCAAGGGATCCACTGTACTCTAAGAGAGATCAGTTGATTCATTCTAATGTAACTCTAGACCACTGTCTGTCAAGTGCACTGACATAAACAGTAACACCAGAAACCTTTTGAAGAATAATACAAAGGAATTGGATAAGAAGAAAAAAAAAATACTAGTAGCTAAATGTAGACAGAGCATGATAAATTTCAAAACTTAACGTTTTTAGTCACCTAAAGCAGGAATATCTTTTTGCAAATATAGCAGTTTGGAAATTCTGAGGAGAAAAATGTATTAGCTTTTCCTAATTATTTTCTAATACACTAAAGTTGAAAATAAATTCATACTCAATTACTGTTCGTTTGTATTGCTTAACATCCTCGTGCTTCTTATTAATTTTGAATTGGGCTGTGGCAAGTTTTTCCTTCTTCACAATCATCAGTCTTTTGAATGAATTTTCTTCAGTCTTCAGTTTCTTTAGTTCTGAATGATCACTTTCAATTTGGTCCTCCAAGTTCAGGCTCTGCATTTTATGAGAAATATTTAAAAACAACTACTTAGGATTGATAAACAACATGAAAGGGTATTTTCTAGGACAAGCTATAATAAAATGCAATTTTGAAATGGATACAACTATTTAATCCCTGAAAACCCAGCAGAAAAATGCAGATTGTACAGAGGGGACAACAGGAAAGTACCAGGGGTACTGAGAAAGACCATGACAACTGGGGAGATGTTTTTATCATGTTATTCTGTCAGCAAGAATGAGAGGAGAAGACATATGAAGAGAATCAGCTAAGAGGCTACAGTTGAGGGGTGTGGGGTTTGAAACAAGCTATTAGGAACAAAGAGAAAAGAGTTGACCTCAGAAAAAATTAAAAGCAGATCTAATTCTTGGTGACTCTTGATGGCAGATAAAGGGGACTAAGTGCAATGTAGTGGAGAAAGAGTACTTCCAACAATTCACCTTCTAACCCATACTTCTGTCAAAAAGGAAATCTTTTATCAAATATGTCAGCAATCCTGAGAGAATGGTCTAAATTAAGATGATAAAGTTCAGAAGTCCAAAAAGATTTTATAGGTCTTTTCCAGGGATGGGTACCAATGGGAGATGGGTGGCCATAAGGAAAGGCAGAATGAGGGTGAATATAATAGTTGTATTTTATATTCATATATGAAAATAGAAAAATGAAGCCTGTTGAAATTGTTTTAAGAAGGGGGGAGGGGAAGAGGGAGAATGATAGAAGGGATAAACCTAAGATATATTGTAAGCACTTATCTAAATATCACAATGTATCTATCCCCCTGTACATTGATTATATGCTAATAAAATTTTTAAAAAAGATTTTAAACTTCTACACTGAGAAACTTAAATGACATTAGTTCTCATTATTAAGGGCAAGGACTATGATATAAACTTTAAATGTCTTTATAAATCCTAGATATACTGTTAGGCACTAGATTGAGACTTTATGAATACTGATTATATAAGATCATTTCCAACTGTTAGAACAAGTTTAAATATCCATTACTATTTTCCAAACCACACATGGCAATGTGCCATGTTAATTTATTATTCATTTCATGTGAAGATTAAAATAGGTCTTGCCTAATAAACATGTTTAAAAAGAAAAGTGTCTTATTTCCTAGCATATATTACCTCACTATTATACTGTAGAATAATCCTGTTTTTCTTCTGGAAAATAGTAACAAAAAAAATGAAAGCAAATCCAAGGAACTATAAGATATAACACAATAAAGACATAAAAATTCTACACAATACAAACCTCTTTTAAGATACTGGTTAATTTTTCCCTATTATCTGCAAGGTCCTGTATTTTCTTTTGATATAACTGCACCTCCAGCTGACATGAAGGCAGGCTGTCAACTGAGTCTCTATAGATTTCATACTTCTCCATCACTTCTTGCTTTGAAAGAAAAAAAAAAACAAGCGCCCACAGTCATATTCTCCTTTTTGAAACTGCAATAATGTCAATTTGTTTGCTCTTGAATAATTTCTGCATTTAATACAGAAAGCTTAAGAGCAGAGAACAATTAAGTCTCTAGGCCAGTAACAAAGCACTATTACTGACATGTGTCTAAGCACATATAATTACGCTTCTTAATTGCCAATATCCTCAAACAAAGGAAAACTGCAACAATTTTACTAAACCACTTGCTATTGCACTTTCCAAAGGTTGTCCGTGGTGCTAGGAAGAAAGAGTTCATTCTGGCTGGGGACACTGCTTAGTGGTAAACTGCTTGCCTAACATGTGGAAGATCTTAGGTTCAATCCCCCAGCACCACCAAAAAAAAAAAAAGTTCATTCTGCTAATTCTCAAACTACTTGATTACTCCAGAACAGCCCACTTACAGTCCTCCTATTCACTTTCGCCACCGCTAACTCTTTAAAAAGAAATTCCTCTTCTAAAATTACAAAACAAACATTTACTACAACTACATAATAAAAGCTTTCTTCCTTTTTCTCACCAGCCTACTTCTTGCCTTACCTTATTGACCAGTTTGATTTCTCTTCAGCAAAAGGCCTAATCATATTATAGTTCATTTTTCAGTTGTCTTTTTTCGCCTAATTTGTAAATAGTCTGCATATCATGGATATAATCCCTTTACTTGTCATGTCCATTAAGTATGTTTGAAAAGGTCTATTTTTCTCTCTAGTTTTTGGACTGCAATCTTAATTTTAAAACATCTAAGTTGAGTGCCCAGTTGCTCACACCTGTAATCCTAGCTACTTGGGAGGCTGAGATCTAGAGAACTGCAGTTTGAGGCCATCCCTGGGCAAATAGTTTGTGAGACCCCCAACTTCAAAATAAACTAGTTGGGTAAGGTGGTGCACATCTGTATTCTCAATACTCAGGGAGGCTGATGCAGGAGAATCACAAGTTCAAGGCCAGCCTGGGTACACAGATACATAGTGAGAGCCTGGCCAAAAAACAACAAAAAGCAAAATCAGAAGAAAACAAAAGAAGAAGAAGAACAACAACAAAAAACCCAAAACTCTATCACACTCCATGCTTGTTCCAGTCCTATAAATATGTGAATCTATTTCTAGGCTCCCATTTCTGTTCTGATGATTTTTGTATTATTTTGATTATCAGGAATGACTTGGGTAACAAACTTAATAAACTAGAACTTCTATTAATAACCAGTTTAAAAATATGGCTCTAAAAGAATGTTAAATTGTCTACCCACTTCTAGTTTTGTCCCCCACCATCCCCCACCTCATTCTATCTCCCACAGTAACCCATGACCTCACCCTCACGGATCTTCTGCTTTGAATGCTCTTGCACATATCATTACTGGGATAACCTGCTCATCCTGCAGCTGTTACCACAAATTTCCTCTACCTTCCCTCTCCGACCTGATTTCCATAATACTAAACTGAGTTTCCCCATTTTATTTTTTCAACGCATCTTATACTTTTTCCGTTTTTAGTGCTACTTTAAAAAATGTATCTAAATTTTCATAGCAATTTTATAGCAAAATTGATAAGGTACAGATTTCTCATGTACTCTCTGCCCTGACATACACACACCCATATTTTTTCATAGTACGTACTGTAATTTGTAATTATATACCTGTTTGTAAATTGTTTAATACCTTTTTTCTCTGTAATAAAGTAATTCAATCTCATGAGGACAGAGCATTTCTGTTTTGCTCTCCCAGAGCAAAGCCTCAAAACTCTGTAGCATAATAGAACAAATGTCTTGAAATTGTGTTTCTTTTGACCATACCCACTTTGGAGAAGAACTATGTATTAGAGACAAGGTCAAAAAAATGAAAGAGAAAAAGAAGTATAGATAATTCAGAAAGCAGAAAATTTACACATCATTAAAGAAGAATTTGCTAAAAGGAGAAAGGGAAAGCATTAAAATAAGAGGAAACTCACCCTGGAATTTTTAAGCTTCTGGACTGTATCCTTCATTTTTTCTTTATAATTCTTTACCTTCTCTGGAGAATCCACAATTTTTGTTTTTAAACTCTCTTGTACTTCTTTCAAAGAAACCAGTGACAATTTTAGTTCATTCTGTTGAGGAACATTAATTAGGTATGATAATAAAATTGGTGACTTGCCATTTCAATAATAGGAAACAAATTAGGTTTATGTTTGCTGTGGTGGAGGTAAAATTAAATTCTGACCACATCACTAGCCTGATTAATTCCTCACAGCTGTCTACAGGCCAAAGAGCAAGCACATGGCATTCAAGGCCTTACAAGATATTTCTGTAATCAGCTGGGTTCTCCATAAGTACCACACCACCCTGCTCCTGTTTGCCTGCCGAATTTCTATTGAACCTTAAAAATCTCCCATCTCCTCTATGTTTCTTATGTAAACAGTGCAATTATCATACATACAACACTATAATTATGCATTTAATGTGTTTAGAAATTAACTGAGTGGCTTGGAGTCTTGAAGTTACCTTTGTTCTCCCAGTACCCAAACAAAGTAATAGCACTGAGAAGGTGCTCAATACATGCTTGTATCAAAACACATTCCTTTCTTCTGAATTTCAAAAGTGAATGAAACTACTAGAAGAAAACATAAGGGAAACACTTCAAGACACTGTCCCCAAGTCACAGGATACAACAGCAAAAGTGGACAAATGGGATTACATGAACTAAAAGCTTCTACATAGCAAAGGAAACAATCAACAAAGTGAAGAAACTACCTATAGAATGACAGAAGATATTTGCAAATATATACCTGAAAAGGGGTTAATATCCATAATATAGAAGGAACCATAGAAACTCAATTGCAAAAAACACATAAACCAATAAAAGTGGGCAATTAGACATTTCTCAAAAAAACCCATAAATGATCAAAAGGTATATGAAAAAAATGTTACACATCACCAATCATCAGGGAAATGCAAATCAAAACCACAATGAGATATTGCCTTAGTCTAGCAAAAATGGCTATTATCAAAAAGACAGAAGTGCTGGTGAGGATATGGGGAAAAGGGAACCCCTGCACACTGCTGGAGGGAATGTCAAGTAGTACAACTAGTATGGAAAACACTGTGAAGGTTCCCTCAAAATTAAAAATATAACTATCAGATGATCTAGTAGTACCACTTCTGGGTACATATCCAAAAGATAAAATCAGCACACTGCTGGCAGAATAGCTCAAGTGGTAGACCACCTGCCAATCAAGCATAAGGTTCTGAGTTCAAACCAAAATATCACCCTCCCCCCAATCAAAAAAAAAAAAATCAACATGCTGAAGAGACATCTGAACTCCCAGGTTTATTATAGCATTATTCACAAAACCCAAGAAATAGAAATAATCTGTCAACTGATGAATGGATAAAGAAAACAATGAAACCCTATCATTTGTGACAACATGGATGGAACTGGAGGTTATTATAAGTGAAATAAGTCAGGCACAGAGAGACAAGAACTGTATGATTTCATTCATGTGTTGAATCTAAAAGACTCGATCTCATAGAAATTAAGAGTAAAATAGAGGCTACTAGAGGCTGGGAGAGTAGGGGGAAGGGAAGAATGGCAAAAGATTGATCAATATGTACTAAGTTACAGTAAGAAAGGAGCGAAAAGTTCTGGTGTGCACAATAGGGTGACCATAGATGACAATTATGTATTATATATTTCAAAAAGCTAGAATAATTCTGAATGCTTTCACCATAAAGAAATGATGTTTGAGATGGGTATGTCTAATCTGATTTGAACATTACACAATATATACATATATCAAACATCACATAGTACCCCAAGAAAATGTACAATTTTTATGAATTACATATATTTATAAAATTAAGAAAAATAAAAGCTGGGTGTGGTGGCACACATCTGTAGTCCCAGCTGTTTGGAGACTGAGGGAAAACCTTGAGCCTAGGTTTCAAGGCCAGTCTGAGCAATGTAGGAGACCCCAATCTCTTAAAAAGTAAAACTGAAAAAAGTTGGGAAAAAAGAAAGTTAATGTAACCCTCTGGGAAATCAAAGAGAAGGGTATTTAAGAATTCTCTTAAAATTAGATTTTTTTTCCCTATAAAACAAACAAACAAACAAAACCAAAGACATTTAATTTTAGCAAGGGAAAGGGACACTCATATTCCACTGATGGGAATATAAATCAGTATCTTTCTACAAGTCAGGATGGAAACATGAGTTAATTTTAATTGTGCATTTCCTTTGGCCCCCCAATTCTGAACTTAGAAATGTTTTCTAAGAAAAAAGAGCGTTTGGTGAACAAATGTATATGCTAGCATGTGTACATATATATAGCACACACATATTTATGTTAATACAAGAAAATTAGAGTATGAAAGTCTATCAATTAGGGACTAAATATTACCCGACCACATTTAGCCATTAATACAAGTATCCATTTGAAAGTCTTCATAACTCTTTATACTGTATTGTCAAGTGGGGAAAAAAATCAGGTTTGAGACATGTTGAATATAATATCATTTATGCCAAATTACACAAAAATGCACAATAGAGAAACAATCTATGATATTTATCAAGTTGTGTGGTTAGCCTTCCTTCAGGTGATTTTTACTTTCTGCATAATTCAATGCTTTCTTCTTTTTAAAACAAAAAACAATAGTCACTGTGTTTAAGTTGAAAAGAGCTATTTTCATTTTGAGGGAAAAAGATTATAGAGAAACATTAATTTCATAACATACACAGCTAAAATACTCCTCCACACGGTCTATTCAAACTTTAAATGCTAGATAATAGGAAAGACATTTACCAAACGCTTGGTTTTCTCTGAGATGTCTGATTTCTTTTGGGAATTTCCCTCTTGCAGCACTATCTGAGAGAAAAAGCAACAAAATTTAGCCACTCATTGCTTTCCCATAAAATAAATGTAAGAAAGGAAGTTAAGAGAATTAGATCAGATATTCTCAAACTTTTCTCTGTTCACAGAACCCCTTAGTCAAAAGAAATGTCTGAGTTAAGTCCAAATAACTGCATAATTTCTGTCCTAACAATGTTGCAGTGCTTTGAAAAACAATACATAGAAATTGAAAAGAAAAATATTTATAGTTTATTCTTAAATAATAACTACTTATAATTAGATGTGTGTACCTACTGAGCACGGCATACACTCACATACCTTGGAATTAGATGGGTCACAGAAACTCTCATTTCCTCTTTCATAATGATTTGCACATAATGATCAGTACTTGCTTTTTATTACAGCAAATGCCAAAAGCCCAGTTTCATAAAGATATAAAGGGAAAATGATGTGATCTAACATTAAACTGTGAACTATCTTAAGCTAAGTTTAAGAAGTATGAGAGAGGCTGAGTGTTACAGCGTTTTATTTCAAATGTAAAATATCCTGAGGCACCCATGAGGGCTTGATGCAGTGTCCAGAGTGCTGAGGGGCACAGCAGAACTAGACACAGGAAAATCCTAAAACTTCTATTCATGCAGACTGCACAGAGCTTCACCAACACAAACTAGTATGGCCCTCATGGTTGAGAGAAGATATGTTTGTTATGAGGGTATATTGCTCTAGTAACTAAAAGTGGTATGTCCTCCCCACCACTACATGGTTTCACAACAGATACCGTTTTTTGGCGAAACTCCTGATTCAATGATTGCTGCAGCTCCTGAATATCATCTGTAAGTTGCTTGAACTCTTCTTGCTCTTCAACTGGAACAGAACTAAACACACCCAAAATAGAATAAAATAACATGTTATCGAATTCTTGACTTTGAAAGGCCAAAACAAAATCTTTGCCCTGAAATAATTAGATACTTTCATGACAGCTGTTTAAAACAGAATTCGTTTGCTTTCTACTGAGAGAAAATAAATATCCAATGAATTCCTTCAACTTTCTACCACCAAATCTATGCATTCAGCCAGATACACCTACCCTATCCAACTTCACTCTTAATAAAATAGACATAGTATACCTTCTCTGGTTGAACACAATCTTTCCACCCGTACCTGTCTCTCATCACATCACAGCTCTTACTGCTGCATCATCTATTCTTCTCATCTATCAGTCCTTTGTAACAGCACTTATACATGTTCAAACCTTCTCCACATGAATGGTCTCATTTTAGTTTTGGTCTGATGCATTTGTTTTCATTCTGTTGTAAATTCCTTCTTTCTAGCCTCTCTCCTTGTTTCACCTTTTCATCCTCTCGGTTTTAAGAGTTCTCTGTATATTAGGGATACTGTGTGGGCTTTGTTATTAGAGTTATTTAAGCTTTGCAACATATGCTGCAAGTATTCTCTACCAGCGTTTTTCACCAGTTTGTTACTTTTTTTTGACCTGGTTCATGGTATCTTTTACCATGCTATGAATTTGAGCATTTGCCACTCTTCCCCAGTCTTTTCAGCTTACAGTTCCCTTTAAAAAAAAAAGAGAACCAAAAAACTAGGCACAGGTCAGAAAAGATCTCATCTGAAAAAGATAACCTCAAAAACATCAACAAATTAGAAATGATTTTTTAAAACTATTTCTGCTCAAAATTGATACACATGGCCCTAAATTTACAATGGTTCCACAATGATGCAAGGCAATATACATCTGGTAGAACTGTACTTCAAGTTTAAATTTTGGTCTTTTCTCAGGCTACTATAGGTGGTGCTGGACATCAAGCTGCTGCTCCCAATCAGCCATGTGATCATGAGCCAAACAACCAATCTCCACAGTGCTCTGTGTTGAGAGTTACGTTATGGAGTTCACTATATCAGGCGTGTTAAATACCCTTTCCATTTACAATATTTTCAACTTACAATGGATTTATCGGGGCATAACCCCACTCTAAACTGACGAGCATCTGCCTATATAAGAAAGACCAAGAAATCATAGCATTTGAATGATTCTCCCACTATGTCCAAAACCGAACACTTCTGTTGGAGAAGTGAAAATTTTTAGCAGGATTAACTGATCTGAGAAAAGAGCGCAGATAGTATCACTCATCTATAAAAGACAAAAACCCCAGATATAATTTAGAAAGCAAGTTAATAGCTTCAAACAAGTCAGGCTAACACACTAACAACAACAACAACAACAAAACAATGTTGTTGTTAGTTAGGAAAAAAAAATCCTAGATTTTCTCTTTTTAGAAAAGGCCAACTTAAGTACTCTGCCATTTATTAAGGAAAATAAGAGACTTAAGATAGATTGTAGACTTATAAAATAGTACTTACAATTCACTTTGCATTTTGAAATTGCATTCATTTCATTTGTAAATCTCTCACTTACTCAAGTCTTTCCAATTTCATTAATGCCTCCTGGTGGGCAATATGTAACTGTTGCATCTTGTCCACAGAGGTTTTCTATTAAAGTAATTTTAATAGTGTCAAATTAGCACTTTTCCACATACGGCGATGTATTAAAATGTATCTACTGCAAAATGCTTACCATCAGAAATGAAAATTTAAGTAGTTAGGCATTTGTGAAAACTAAGAATTTATTTACTTATTTGCAGTGCTGGGGATTGAACCCAGAGCCTTGTACCGTCTGGCAAGCGCTGTATCTCTGAACTACAACCCCAGCCCAAGAATATCTTTACTTAACACAAACATTGAGTTCTTACCATAGTTAGGCACTATGTTAAGTGCTGGGAATTTTTAAGAGACTATGCTATAGTTCCTGAATTAAAGTAGTTGTGTCTCTTTGAATAGTCAGGTTTCAATAAAAAAACTACAAAACTAATTGTTATAGTATTACATATAACGGGAATAATGAAGAGTGACATCCAACCTGACTTAGGTAATAGCCAGGGAGGAGGTCACACAGGCTTTGTAGAGGTGACAGATTATAGAGTTGGGCTGGCTGAGTGACTGAAGTGGTAAGAGCACCTGCCTAGCAAGCACAAATTCCTGAGTTCCAACCCCAGTGCCTCAAAAAAAAAAAAAAGGATGAGGAGTAATTGTGTGTGTGTGTGTGTGTGTGCGTGTGTGTGTGTGTGTGTGGTGGTGGTACAAGTATTATAAACTTTTGCTATGTTCTGAAGGTATAAGTGTAGCACAATTTGTGCAGAGAAGTATTTATATAATTCAGTGAAGCCAAAGCTTGAGGTCTAATTGTCTGATGTTACTCTGGTACCTTCTGAGGGCAAGGTACCTCAGCACTAGGATGAGAACAAAGTACACAAATTCTCTAAATTGTTGAAGGAATATGGAATGAGTTTCCATCTGTTAAAATAGCTGTCTTGGACCAAATCATACAATGCAATGCTGAACAGGCACATTAACAAAAACAGTACAACAAGGCTAATATTTGAAAGGCAAATAAAAACCTCAAATATCTCAATTATTTAAACGCTACACTATGCAATCTTCTGAGAAAAAAAAGGTGAACATGTCAACATTCTCTTCCCTAACATTTCCTAATATAGGAAAATAAGCCTCAACTACAAGAGTAAAACAAAAATTCAGCTCTGTTACCAAGCACACATCATTTTGAGATGTGTTTTCCAGACCAAAATTTGCAAATATAAAAACAAGTTCAATTCTCAGGGCCATTCAGCAATTGTATATCAGTAACAAACATTTCCTCAAGACAGATTAATAGTTCATTAACGATTCTACCAATCTGTTTAAATCTTACATATTGCTTGAGAAATTCCATATATGTGCCTCGGCATTCTTCTCTGAAGTGAATAAAGTTGATAATGCCACTTAAAAAACGACTTGTCCGTTTTGCTTCTGAAATAGAAAACAACACTGTTTAATTAAATCTTTGAAACATAATTTTAAAATGAAAAGTCATCCTCTCCCATATTAATTAGCTCATAGTATATAAAACAAGACTGTATACTACACTAAAAAGCAGAGAATCTGTTTTAAAGATCAGAATTATCTTTGTTTTAATGACTTAAAAAAAAAAAAGGCAAACTAGTTTTGGCCACAAGGGACTAACTGACCATCTCATTTTAAAATGGGAAAATAGAAAAATTACACGAAGCAACAAACTTTAGATTAAGAACACAGACAATGTAAGAGCAATGCCAAAAGGCATAAAATAAGGCAAATACTATTAATGTACTTGTCCTCAACTTGGGAGAGTTTTTAGGCTGTGGCCCAGATGGAGAGAACATACACAGAATTTATGGGTCTTATTGAGTCATGATGACAGGGTTTGTTTTGGAGAGGCCAATGAATGTGGTTGAGTACTTCAGGAGGCTAAGAATAAGAGTTCTGGCGATCAGAGGAGGCCCCGCATGTTCTCAGTTGAATACTAATCACTACATGAATATGAAACTATTAAGGCTAAGAGAATAACCAGGAATAAAGGAATAAATAGTAAACCCAGTATTCAATAGCATAAAATCCATGTCTGACATCTAATAAAAATGACCAGACATGCAAAGGAATAGAACAATATGAACCAAGCAAGAATAAAAAAGAAAAACAGAAATGTACCCACAAATAATACATATGACTGATTTAGTAGTATGTGAAAATAACCTTTATGAATATGTACCTTTTGTTGAAAAAGATAGAGAAGGTATTATGAAGATAAAAGGGAAGGTTTTGAAAAACATCTAAATCAAATTTTTAGAGTTAAAAAATAAAACATCTGAAATAAAAATTACAATGGAACACACTGAAAACTGTTGAACAATACAGGGGAGAGAGAAAAAAGTAAGGAAGAGTAATAGAGGAGTTAGATTAATTAAAGTACACTATATTTACAGGTAAAATACCAAGACAAAACCCCATTGTACAATGAACAGACACTTAAACAATGAAGGACAGGAGTGTAAAACAGGTCATGCTAAGGGGAGGTGCTAGGGGAGGGGGAAGGCAAATGAAGAGAGTAAAGAAGGTGAATACTTAATATGCATGTATGAATATGGAACAATGAAACCTGTCAAAGTGATTTCAAAAAGGAGAAGGGAGAGGGAGTATAATGGAGGGGATGAACCAAACCAGGGTATACTATACTCACATATGGAAATGTCACAACAAAACCCTCTGTACAACTATTATATACTAATAAAAATGTTAAAAAGTTACAACAGATAGGATTAACAGATTAGACCTGAAAATGAAAGGATTAATTAAATGGGAAATGTACCAATACAAGCTATCTTACATGAAGGCCAAAAGAAAAAAAATGAATTAAAACATCTATGAGATGAGGGGCAGGAGCAAACAAAATAAGAAGTATGTAATTAGAGTCCCACATAAAGGAGAGGCAGAAAAAAACTGCTACAGAATAGTATCCAGATTTTTAAAAAATTATAAACATAGCAAAGCTAAGTAAATAAGACAACAAAAAATACAAACAAAAGGGCTAGGGGTATGGCTCAAATGGTACAGCACTTGTCTAGCATGTGCAAGGTCTTGGCTTCAGTCCCCAGTACTAGGGGAACACACACACACACACACACACATACACACACACACACACATATTTGTACATATACATTAAAATAAATAAAACAGCAAGAAATGGGAAAACAGGACAAGAAGAAAACAACAAAAGTAAACTTAAGCTCAATCACATCAGTAACATTAAATATAAATTAGATAAACACTTCAATTAAAAGGCAGACAGCAAGAATGAACTGAAAAAGCAGCAAGACATCTGGTTTTTAAAAAAGACATGAAAATGGAAGGGGTGCAATTTGGGAAAAGGCAGGAGACAAGTGGGAGGGGGAAGAGGAGAAAAGAGTTCTAGAGGGATAAATATTATCAAAGTACATTATATAATGTATGGAAATGTCATGAAATCCATTAAAATGTACAAGAAAGAAATCCACTTCAAATATAAGGCAGAAATTAATTGAAAGAATATGCCGTGCAACACAAATCAAAAGAAAACTGGAGACCAAACAAAGTATATTTTGGAGCAAAGACTAGGTCATCAAGAGGATATAATTCTAAATGTGTATACCTCTAGAACTACAGCTTCAGGCATAAAAAACAACACTTGAAAGAACAAGCAAAGCAGACAAATCCACAATCAGTTTGAAGACTTGAACATCTCTCTAATAGTTCAACAGAGTAACTAGAAAAAAATCTGTAAGGACATAGAAGGTATGAACACTATTAACCAACTGCACTAAATGTTTAGAATCCCCCACACAAGAACAGAATGCACACTGCAAATCTGTAGGCTAGCATCCAGACATACAAGTCCTAATCCTTGGAACCTGCGCAAATTGTTTAAGATAACATATGGCAAAGTGACTTCACAGATACACAAATATAATTAAGTTAAAGAACTGAGATGGGGATATTATCTTGGATTATCTAGTGGGCTCTACATGCAATCACAAGTGTCTTCATAAGAGGAAAGCAGAGATGTGATTATAGACAGAATTTCTGTGGTGAGCAATATGACAACAGAGACAGGGATAGTAAAAGATACTGCATTGCTAGCTTTGAAGACAGAGGAGGGGAGTCATGAGTCAAGGAATGTAAAGAACACAACTCTAGAAGCTAGAAAAGGCTTTGGGGAGAAAGCATTTCTGTGACATTCAAAAATGAAATAATATAATTTGCTGGACTTGAAAAGAAAAGCCTTAGGATTATCTCACTAGATGAAGAAAAGGAAGCATTTAACAAAAATTTACACCCTTCACAATACAAACTCCTATGAACAGAGAAGTTGCTTATCTTGATAAACTTTATGAGAAAAGACTATAAATAATATTCAACAATCAAACACTTAAATGTTTTTTCCCCTAAAATCAGGAATAATAGTGACAGCTCTCACCCCTACAATTTAACATTTTACTGTAAGTCCCAGCCAGCACTGAATGCAAAGAAAAGAAATAAAAGACCGTAAAGGATGTAAAACTGTCTCTGATCTGAAACAATATGATGGTCCATATAGAAGATCCTAAGGAATTTACAAAATAATCTACTAGAGAGAACTGATTTTAGCAAGGATGATATATAAAAATCAATTTTATTTCTTTACACTAACAATGACCAATCAGAAACTTAAATTTTAAAGAAACAAACAAAAAAAATCACTAATAATGTGAAATTTAACAAAATGCACACAAAACCAATGTATAAAGCATTGCTGAGAAATTAAAGAAAACCTAAATAAATGGAAAGGGATAACATGTAGATGGGCCAGAAGATCCAATATCAGTAAACTGTTAAGTATTCCCCAAATGAACTCTACATTCAGAGTAATGCCAATCAAAATCCCAGGGGTGTTTGTGTGTATGTGTGGTGGGGTACAGTAGAAAATGATAAGCTGAACACTCTAAAATTTGCAAGGAGAACAGTCAAAATGATATTGAAAACAATGAACAAAGTTGGGTGATTGACACTACCTGATTTCAAGTCATCTTTAAGGTCTGTACTTGACATAAAAATAGACACTCATATCAATAAAGTAGAAGAACAAGCCCAGAAATATGGCCAACTGATTTTTTAAAAACAAAATTTTATTTTTCACAACCATTTTAGGTTCATAGCAAACCTGAGCAAGAAGTAGATAGTTCTCACATACCCTGTATCCCCAGACAAGTATTCTCCTTTACCAACACCCCCCACCTGTGTGGTACATCTGTTAAAACTGATGAGCCTGCACTGATACATCATTATCACCCAAATCCATAGTTGACATTGGGGTTCACTCTTGCTGCTGTACGGTTGATGGGTTTAATGTATGATATGTATCTACCACTAAAATAACATACATAGAAATTTCATTGTCCTAAAACTCCTTCATGCTCGTTAGTCATCTCTCCACCTACCCTAAGCCTTGACAACAACTAATGTTTTTACTGTCCCTATAGTTTTACCTTTTCCACAATTTCATAGTCTTTTCAAACAGGCTTCTTTTACTTGATAATACACTTTTAAGATTCTTTCATGTCTTCTCATAGCTTGATAGATCATTTCCTTTGAGCACTGAATACCGTTCCATTGTTTGGATGTATTATATTTATTTACCTATTAAAGGACAACTTGGTTGTGTCCAAGTTTTGGGAATTATGAATAAAGCTGCTATAAACATCTCTGTGTGGGTTTTCATGTGAATGTAGGTTTCCATTTCCTTTGGATGGATTCCAAGGAGCACAAATGCTGGATCGTATGGTAAAAATATTTAGTTTTGTAGGAAACTGTCAAACTGTCACAGTGGCTCTACCACTTTGCATTCCCACCAGCCAAAAATAACAGTACCTGTTACTTCACATCCTGTCAACACTTGATATTGTCACTAGATTTTTTTCATTTTAGTAGTATATTGTAATTAAGTTTTGACAAAAAGTGCCAAGGTAATTTACTTGGGAAAGGATAATCTTCTCAACAAGTGGTGTTAGAATTTTAATAACCATATCCAAAAATTAAAATGCTGAACAAGAAAAGCAAAACTATAATACTCTTGAAACAAAATACAGAAGTAAGTCTTAGCAAACTTGGGTTAGGCCAAGATTTCTCATCTATTTGTTTTATTTTGAGGCAGCATCTCACTCTATAGCCCAGGCTGTTCTCACACTTGTGATCCTCCTGCCTCAACTTGCCTGGCTTAAGATTTCTTAAGAGGACACACAAAAGAAAAACAAAACAAAACACTGATCAATTAGAATCTTCAAATTAGAAATTTATTTTGCCCCTCAAAAGACACGGAATTGAAAAGGCCGGTGACAGCAGAAGAAAAGTTGGGCATGGTGGTATACATCTCAAATTCCAGCACTCAGGAGTCAGATGCAGAAAAGTGCTAGTTTGAGGCCAGCCTGGGCCACATAGTGAGAGACTCTACCTCAAACACTCGCCTTCCCCCCAGCCAAAAAAAAAGAAAGAAAATAGAGAAGAAGAAAATAGCTGCATAACACGTGTTATCTGAGAAACAATTTATTTTGAAAATATCTGGAGAAGACTAACAACTCAGTAAGATAAATTCAACTTAAAAGAATGATTTGAAAAGCAACTTCACCAAAGAAGATATGCCATAGCAAATATGTATATGAATATCTGCTCGTTTATATCAGTCATCAGGGAAACACATATTAAAACCATGAGCTACTACTATACAGCTTCTAGAATGGCTAAAATGAAAAACTTACACTACCAAGACCAGAGTGGATATGGAGCAAATGATACTATTATATATTTCTGGTAGTGATGCAGAAAGCAGTTTAGCAATTTCTTAAAAAGCATGTAGCCAGGCATGGTGGTGCATGCCTACAATCCTAGCACTCAGGAGGCTGAGTGGGAAGATCCCAGGCTCCAGGCCATCCTGGGCTACATCATGGGACCCTGTCTCAAGGAAAAAAAAAGTTAAGCATGTATTTACCACATGAACCAGAATTTCTACTCCTTGGTTATTTATTCAAAGAAATGATTGCCACACAAAGACTTACTTGTGAATGTAAATCTTCACAGCTGCTTTATTCATAATGACCAAATATTAGAAAGAATTCAACTGCCTATTAACTTATCAATGGATAAACCAATTGTGCTATATACTTACAAGAGATTACTCCAAAATAAAAAGAAACAAGGTAGTAATACATGTAATTAACATGGAGAAATCTGCTCAAAGAAGCCAGATACAAAAGCCTACAGACAGTATGACCACATTTATATGAAATTCTAGAAAAGTCAAAACCTTAGTGATAGAAGATATATGTCAGTGGTTGTCAGGAAGTGGGGATGGCAGAGACCGACATAAATGAACATGAAGGAACTTTAGCTGGTCACGGAAGTGTTCTACAAGATTGTGACAATGGAGCTGGAAGAGGGGCTCAAGTGGTAAAAGTGTGCGCTTAGCAAGCATGAGGCAGGCCCCAAGTTCAAACTCCAGGACCACCAAAAAAAAGACTGTGACAGTGGTTACACAACCACGCAACTAGATACATGTGTTAAAACTCATCCAATTTACATTTAAAACTGGTGAATTTTATTATGTATGAATTGTATGTTAATAAACAAGACAAAAACATGAAATCTAAATAAAGATTAAATACAAAATTTTAAATAGCATACCAAATCTCTCACAACACAAAATAACTTAATGGATAAATAGAAATTAGTTAAGGGACACTTAAATAAAGCTAGAATTTTACACTGTAATTTATCACTGTTGGCAGTCCTAAAAGTTAATTTCTTCATAGTAAAAAGTAATTGTTAATTTGATAGAATTGGTATACTTAACCCACTATACAGATCACACCTGCATATTACATGTAGCCATACTCTCTAACTTTAACAACAGTTTTAAAATGTAAGAATATATAAGAAAAATTACTCAGAAAAATGGCTTTTCTGTAGACCTACAAAGAGAAAAAAATTGCAAATATAAAAAAATTCAGCCTCAGCAAGCACAAAGCCCTGAGTTCAAACCCCAGTCTCACCAAAACAAAAGGGCAGACATTAAAAACTGTTTCAAATTTTCACTTACTTGGATAAAGAATATCAGCAATCTCAAAATCATTCACCCGGCAAATGGGCAGAAATGAGTCACTTGAAGATAAGACGAAGAACATTGAAATGCATTGTAAATTACACCAAGCCATAGCAAGCATCTTATTCTCAAAGAGATTTCTGGCCATATTTTTCAATGTGTTAAAGGACCAAGTCAGAAGTCTTTTCTACTCAAGGTGTAATTTATTGCTCTGGAATCTACTTTTCTGTATATTCCATGAGCATGCATGCAAAACCAAAGTAGTTACTCTTGGAGGCACTAGGACTGAACTCAAAGGCCTCCACAAGGCGGCTAACAGTTTCAGTTTCAGAGTTACATGATCTTAGAACTTCACTTGGAAGTATCCTGAGAAGTGCCAGAGGTGGAAGCTACCCTGTTGGGGGGAACCTACAAATCTGAATGTATACAGGATAGAGTGGAAAGGGCACTATTAGAACGCCTTCCCAAGGACAATCATTTCATTAGGACAGATTAATGAAATGTAAATAGTGTGGACTAAAAATGAAATCATTCTTTACTCACAGATGAATAAATAAATTGCTGACAGGCAAAAAGCCTTCCATTATATGTGGATACATGACTTCAGTGTTCACTGGCATCTGAATGAAATAAACAACAAAATCCATGTTACATCAACTGGACAAAAGAAGAAAATATTCAGCCATAAGAAACTTTAATTATAGGCTAAGATCAAACTATGTTGGGCTGCAGATAGAGCTAAGTGGTTGAGTGTTTGCCTAGCATGCATGAGGCTGTGTGTTCCATCCTCACTACTGCAAACAAATAAAACAAAACAAAAAAGATCAAATTATATTAACTTACTACCATTAAGTTTGAAAAACACTTAAAACAGTTCCTAGTACAATGCTAGGAACTAGCTTAACAATGCTAGGTTCTCTGTGGGTACTTAATAGGTTTTTAAATGAATGGAAAAATGAAAGGGTAATGGTGAGCATTTACTAAATATCAGATACTATGCTACACATTTTATATATATTCTCTTTTAACTTTTACAACAACCCTATTACAAAGTGTTACCCCAATTTTACAGACAAAAGAAGCTAAATCTTAGCAGGGTTTCACAATAAAAAAGTGAAAAAGACTTTGATTTAAAAAAAAAAAAGTGCAACCATAAACAAGGTATGGTTGTACACATCTGTAATCCCAGGACTGAAACAGGACTGAGGTCAAGGTCAGCCTGAGCTACACAGAAAGACCCTGTCTTAAAACAAAACAGAAAGCAATCATTCTGATAAAATTCCAAAAACATTACTTTTCAGTGCATCTTTACTTGATGTCCTAATGATTTCACAACAAAAAAAGATCAAGAAAAATAATCTTTCCTACTAGAAATATCTAATTTGCTGAAAGTTCAGTTGCCTCATTCCAACTGCTTCAATTTTACTGCATATCTTCTGTTCTAATTTAAGTCCTTCCTGAAAAAAGAACAATGTCTACAAAGACTTTATTGCTGTTTACTATAGTCGCTGAGGACAAATCTATAAATCTGTGAACAACTGCATAGCACCAGTAATTTTTAAGCATCATTTAGGTCTTTTATTATAGTGTTCATCTTACTAAATTATCCATATAAACTATTATTATGCCTAAGCATCCTTTGGAAGTGAAATTGTTAAAAATAAAGTCACAAAATCCCTATCCTTTTAGGCAGCATGTACTGTGAGCAGGAGAACCACAGCCACAAAAACCCCAGTACTTTGCCTCACCATGTAAAAATGCTCCAGGCGAATTCCATACACTATTTGTAAGGCTCTCATGTAGATCATGTGCAAGACTTCAGGCTACAATAGAAAAACAACTGAATCACTATCCTTATTACTATCTAGCTACAGCCAACGAACACACAGAAGGGCAACAAAAGTACTCCATTTCCTTGAAATATTTTATAATTTTTCCAAATCTTAAAATACCTTATGATATTTATTGGTTTGCTCAAATGTGGTAAGTGGTCAAGGAGATCAGTTGCTTAAGAATTAAAACAAGTACATCCAAATCAAATCCAACCAACCCATCCACCTTAGGCAAGGAGAAGGGTGAGTCTCTCAGAAGCCACTGGAAGGTGTGTGGCAGAAATATTGGAAAACTGAGGATGTATTTTCTAAAAGAGACCATGTTTTGGAAACCCTGTTTGCTGCCTTAGGTTAGTAAGGTTTTCTTAAAGTTAAAGGAAACATTTGAAATGGTATAAATTTAAAGGGGGAATACAGAATTTTAAAAATGTAATCTTCTAATCCGTAGCTTCCAAGTGCTGGTTTGTGAATTTGTTCTAATACATACACAAGTTTATGGGGTGAGCAGTAAAGTGAGAAATATAGAGTGAATACCGTAATCTTTTCATAAAGCTAAATTTATTCAGTTTAAAGGCCTATCATTTATTCTGAGACTGCTGCTTCCATTTTAAAGCATTAAAGGATACTGAGACAAAAAGAAGTTTAAGTTCTGTATCATAAAGCCAGAGTTTACTGAACTATCACTTCAAGACCAACGTAGGAAAATGGAAGGAGACTTCGGGATTTTGTGTGACACATAAATAGTTCATTTTTGCATTTAATAACTAAACATAAAACAATGCCTGTCAAAACAAGTCAATTCCCTCCTGGGGCATAATGCAAGGAAATTAATTTGTAAGCTTCCAAAGAGGATTCTTTCCTAAGCATTTTTTTCCTAGATGGAAACCACTTGCAGTAAGCTCAATCAAGCCCTACCAATAAATAATACCCTCACACCACCACTCCAAAAATAATAAAAAAAATATAATTTAATATACCTACGGTTTAAGATTATTTTTTTTTAAAGAAAACAGCCATATTAAAGAAGTGAATTCCTAATGGGAATGTAAACATTGCCCCAAATATAAACCTATTGTTCTTTTGAAATTACATTAGGTGAGAGATTTTTCTCTAGATTAAAAGTAGACTTAAATTAAAATGATGTAGACTGGCCTACATCAAATAGGAGGGTATGTATATGCCTTTCTAGCCACACTATAAACTTTAGTAGTTTACCGTGTTCTCAAATACCAATATCTACAGGCAAACACAACAACATTTTACCTTTGGATTTGGATAGAGATCATTCTTGGAGAGGTTTTTACCATCAGCTCCTGTTAAAAACTTATTGCGAATATGAATCACAATCTCAGCTACATTATATCTGGGGAAAGACAAAGTTTCCATCTTGGAGGTTGTCTCCTAGTCAGAGGGAAGAAAAAAACAAAAGACCATAATTACACACAACTAGTCTGAAAACTGGTAAGTGTAAGAACAAAATGAACAAACCAAGGTTCAACTATTCATAAGAGTGCTAACTATCATCAAATACCTTAGTAAGAGAAAGACAAATTATATGTGCGTGCGTGTGTGTGTGTCTCTCACTCACACACAAAAAATACATATCTATCCCAAAATAACTTGTATCTCAAAGTAAACACAGTCACTTTTGTTAATTTTCCTAATGTTCTCTTTCACTTCCATATGGGGAAGGAAAATTTTGGTTGACAGAAAGTTGGGAAATCATGTATTTCTCTTTTTACATTTGGGGGTCAGGGAGGTTAATAAGACCAATCTTGAGACCTAACCTTCAAAACAAGGCATAAAGCCACAACAGCAGAAGCTATATGTAAACATTAGGGTAGATTAAAAAAAATGTATTGATTTGACATCCTATTGCACACATTTTGAAATGGCTAATAAGGTTTAAGATGCAAGTTAGGAGAGGAAGAAAAGAGTAAGAAGATGCTGTAATTGGCAAGAATTCCTATCACCAAAGGAAGAACTTAAAAAAAATAGAAAAACCCATTTGTCCTAATGTGTTCACATAGTGAGTTATTTCTACTTGTGCCCCCCTAAAAGGAGTTCTTAAAATTTTGTCTCCCCTTCCCACTCCAGGGCACATCTGGCAGTGCTTGGCGATACTGTTGGTTGTCAGGACAAGAATGAGGATCTAGTGAGTAGAGGCCAGGTATGTTGCTAAATATCCTACAATGTGTAGGGCTGTCCCTTACAACAAGGAATTATCCAGTCCAAAATGTTAGTAAGTCTGAGGTTAAGATACCCTGTCATAGAGCTTGCATTTACTATAAGACTTATCACAATGTTTTGGAATGACCCTTATATAGCTATGACACTGCATTGTAAGAGCCCAGTAAGATAAAACTTCATTTTTTCTCATCTCTACATGTGCCTAATAGCAATAGCAACACTGAGAAACAGTAATACCAGCCAGTGCCTCGGCCACTCACTCAAACACTGTTTAATTCCCAGAGACCTCCACACTCCCCAGTGAAGCATCCTGGCCTCAGAGACCCAAAGTGAACAAATTCAATTTTTCAAATGAAAACAAAATAGCTTATAATTTTGGAAATCTATTTACTTAGGTTCCTAATGTTTCTTACACTATTGGGGCTAAAACGCAACTTTGGTAACTTGCCCAGCCTCTAATAAATGGAGAAAACCATGTTTTTTTTTTATTGTGATACTGAGATTTGAACTCAGGGCCTACATCTCAATCCACTCCATCAGCCCTTTTTTGTGAAGGTTTTTTTCTGAGGGTCCTGCAAACTATTTGCTCAGGCTGGCTTTGGACCATGATCCTCCTCATCTCTGCCCGCCAGTAGCTGGAATTACAGGCATGAGCCATCGGCGCCTGAGGAAACCATTTTAAGATGGTTGTCAAATAGCTTCCTACTTCTGCTTGAACCTTTAAAACACCATAGAATTCACTAACTCTCAAGGCAACGTTTTCCTACTTGGTGAGGCTCCAATAATTAGATAACTCTTTCTTACACTGTATAGAAATGTCTCTTGTAAATTTCACCTGCGGGTCCTATTTCTATGTGCTCTGCAACTATATAGAATGTATTAATCCCTGTTTATATGAAACTACTTTCAAAAATGTGAAGAAAAGTATTGTATGTCTGCCAAGCCCTCTCTTCTTCAAGATTAAGTACACTTTCTTCACATATGGCTCTCCTTATATGACATTGTTTTGGACGCTTTATCATTTGTGCGAGGAAAAACAAACGTTTTCCTACTCTACTCACACAACATCAATACAGAAGACTTTTGACAAATGGAGATGGCTCCCACACACTAAGCTAGCAATCAGTTATACTGTGGATGCCAGCTGGGAATCCTCTTATTAAGTTCTGGACACTATCTACCTAGAGACAGTGTCAGATCCCACAGGGTAAAGACTCAGTCCTCATGACCATTCAACCATTCACATGCCAATCCCAAGCCCCAGACTGGTTTATCTGTATTTCTGACCAACCTACTATATATAGCATATTCTATATATATAGGATATATACTATATAGGGGCTCCTTATATAAAATATATAGTATATATAAAATATGTAGTATATATACTATATAGGGGGCTCCATTATCCCCTTCTTGGGTTTGATTAATTTCCTAGAGCTCACAGAACTCAGGAGAACACTTACATTTACTTGTTTATTATAAATGATTGTATAAGGAATGAATACCAGATGAAAAGATGGATAAGGCAAGGTATGAGGGAAGGGACATGTCATCTCCTGGAACCTCTAAGTGTTCAGTTATTCATGAGCTCCTTGAAACCAGTCTTTCTGAGTTTTTATGCAAGCATCATTATGTAGGCATGATGGTGTTGGCCACTGGTGACCAACATTCAGCCTCTGCCTTCCCTAGGACTGGGAGATGGGGGTGAAATGTCCTAACCTTCTTCAGTCTGCCTTGATCTTTCTGATGACCATTCCATCACACTAAAGCTATCTAGAGGCTGCCAGTGTCAGTAGACCATTAACATACAAAAGAACACTGATCACTTTGGAGATTTCAAGGATTTGGGGAGTTGTAAACCAGAAGCCCCAAAGACCAAATATATATTTCACAGTATTACACTATCTTACTTTTCTTCTTCTACATTATTTTGACAATGTCTTCTTAAAACAAAATACCCAAATTGAATACAATATTCCAGGTATTGCTTAGTCACATATTAAATTCTGTTTTTTTTCTTCCAATCTTCAATGACCAGTTTATTTCATAGACTAAAATGATCAAACCTTCAGAGGGAAAAGAGTAAATTTAAAGCTTCCCTACATATACAGCCTATATTTTCATCTACATCATAGATTTAAAAACTTCATAAAAAGAAAAGGTACAGAAATTACTTTTTCAAAACAGATGGACAAGAGATTATCACAATAGAATGAGTAGGTGTAAAACATTGTCATAATTATTATTCCACCTCCCTCTCGTCTAACGTTGTGTACATTCTTTCAGGTTATCCTTATAAGACATCCGATGCCTCATGTAACATTTATACAAAAATACTTCAATTACTTATCTTTCCCACCACATCAAATTCAGATTTTTCTGCTTGCTTTACAAATTCTTTAATATTCTAATGAACTTTATGCTCAAAGTCGTTTCCTAAACTTGCAATGTTTCATTTTGGAATCTCCTCTCATATCCAAATTTTGTTATGCTTTCAAGGTGCAATTTCAGTTCCTATTCTTTCGTGTGTGTGTGTCTGTCTGTCGTTACAGAGAGAGAGGATGAGACTTTCCAACTACATAATCTGAGCTCTTGGCTGGGAGAAAGTACATGTATGTATGTGTGTTTACAAATATACATATATATATATCTGTATACACACACACATACACACACGACATAATCTATGTAAAACGACCTTCTGACAGCCTAACAAATAGCATAAATTAATTTCTAATGCTTTCGGTTTCTCATTTACTTGCAACACCGTATGTGGAGCAGAGTAGGTGTTGAAAGAATGTTGAATTTCATCCACTACATTTTGCAAAATAAAGTAGTTTGTGGAAATCACAAGCCCAGGTGGCAGACATTAAACAAAAATAAATTAACTCCCAGTTTCAAAGAATTAAATGAAAAGTTCTTCCAACTCCTTGGTGGGGTGGGGAGAAGGAAAAAAAAAAAAACAAAACAGCCGCGTTACGCATGCGTAGTGCCCCACCCACTCCGCTGTCTCCCTTTGACTTTTGGATTAAGTATATTTTCGGCTTTTGAATTTGAACAAGAAGTGTTTTTAGCGATGGAGATTCACAGAATGTTAAGTACCTGCACTCAAACAAGCCCCACTAGGACCGCCCCTCCAAATACACCGATAAAATCTACACAAATACAAGCTTAAATTGACCTTCAGGTCGTTTCCGGAACTAAAATCAACGAAACAGGAACTCTGGGTTTGCTCCCCATCTTCCCAGCGCTAATCCTCCACCCTGGCATCGCTTCCGAGGCCAAACGTCCCAACACCAGAATGGTGGCGCCTCAGTCTCTGTCCCTCATCCTCTAGAGCCAGCTCGCGCCCACCTACCGTACGAGCCGGCTGCAGGAAGACCGCTAGTTCGCGGAGCAGCTACAGCCAAAGTCAAAAACCCGCAGAGCCCGACCGTTTCCACTTTTCAAACCTGCCGCCACCTACTGGAAGCCCCGCCCCTTTCCGCCGAGCCTACTTCCAGCCGCGCTGGGTGCCGATACGGCTCAAAATACTTAAGGCGATTGGTGCTTTAGTTTTGAGCATGAACGCGGCTGCAGGCAGTAGGAACCATTTTCACGGAGTTGGCGTCTAGTCGGAACTTCCGTTCGGTAGGAAAGAGAGAGCGCCGTTGCTAGGGGGAGGAGTCGGGGCGGGTTTTCCTGATGGTGGTGTCAGTGACTTCCACCGAACTTCGAACGCTTTGAGGGTTCCAAATGGAGAGCAAAAGCGGTTGGGTGTGATCAGGGTGACATGACAGAAGGGAAGTGAGTTTCTCAATGAAACAAAGGTGAGTCTTGAGTCCCACAGTAGTAATAATAATAATACCAGTTTTACAAGTAATTATAAGCCGTGTTGGATACTTAACAGGCATTCTCTCATTTAAGGTTGGTTTAAGCAGGGTGGGGGAGCGAATAGACACTGCCACTGTCACCTCAAAAGAGGGCTCTAAAAGACCCAAAGCCGAGCTCAGTAGTTTACAAATGGTCAGAATGGGGGCACAGATCGTCCTGAGTCCGCATTGGGATGCTCGACTTGCATAGGTGGAAGACACCTAACAGTTCATCTGGTCAAATCCTCTCCCTTTTACTGTCAAGAAAACTGGGGTCAAAGAGAGTAGAATAAGCTTAGGGCTCCACATCTTAGCTTCTCTTCTCTCTGATCATCCCTCCGTAGGAATTGGCACCCAGATGCTTCCCCCACTCAACTGTTCTCCCAGCTTGTCCTCTCAGGGTGAGTTGGATTTTTCAAATAAGGGGCCCAGAAATCTGTCGTTTCAAGAATAGGAACACTGCAGTTAATTAGAGTCAGGATCTTTCAGCGGAAGCCATGGTGGGCCTAGTTGACCGATGAAAAGCCATTAAGTTTTTTTGAGGTTTGGGGCACCAGAGAACATAATAGAACTCACATCTGGCTACAGGATACAGCATTATTTCCTAAGGGTTGTATGTCAGCTGGGGTCTGGACTGAATGAAGTGAGCAATACTGCTAGAAAGGCGGTGTTGAAAATAGATCCAATTCTGGTGCTTTATTGAAGGACTATTCCTGTTGATATAGACGTCTATACCAATTCTAAATTAAAAAGTACATTTTTTTCTTTTTTGGAGGTGCTGGGGTTTGAACTCAGGGTCCTGCACATGCATGTACTCTACCACTTGAGCCATCCTCCAGCCCTTTCTGCTTTACTTTATTTTTCATATCGTATCTCTTGCTTTTTGCCCAGGGAAGGCCTCAGACTGGAGGTCCACCTACATTCCCCTCCTGCTTACAGGTATGCACTACCGTGCCCAGCTTGTTTGAGATAGAGTCTCACTAGATTTTGCTGGTTCTGGTCTCAAACCCCAATTCTTTCATCTCCACTTCCCACGTGGCTGGGATTAGAGGCATGTACCACCACACCCAACCCAAAAATATATTTCATATTCACTAGTTTAGGACTGTCTTTTTTTCCCTTTCTATGTTTATTTACTAATTAAAATCCAAAAGTCAGAATCTAGCAAAACTCAGAAATAGGTTAGGAAAATAAATTTGTAAGAAATATGAGACCAGTAAGGAAGAAAAAAAAGGCACTTACCACAGAATTGATTAGGTATGCATGCCCATCCTCTTCTAGATCATACCTTCTAAGAGATAGGGAAGAGAAACATAGCATAGTGACAGTTAGCACAGCTCTAGAGTCAAGAAATTGGATTTGAATCCCTGACTATCCACTTACTATGTGGGTTTGGGCAAAGTTGTTTCATCTAGTGAGCTGGTTTACACATCTTTGAAATAATGATGACAGTTCTATCTTCTTTATACAGTATCATGAAGATTAAATTACTTCATGTATCATGCTTTGTAAAGTGCCTGGCAAAATTATGAGCACTCAGTAAGTATTAGCTGTTATTTTGACTTATTATTTGTTCCTAGTCCCTAGTAAAAATGTCTTGCAAATGGTAAGTGCTCAGCAAATACCTGAATTGTTGTTTATGTCCAAACAAGGAACAAGTGACTGCTATGAAATTCAAAATTAGAATGTAGCTCATGGAAACAAAAAAGTGAGGTAAAGGAAGAAAAGAGCAGGACAACCATTTTATTGTATGTATAATAAAAAGTGTTTATGTGGGAGATACTTTTACTATACATAAGACATTGATAGTTATATTAGAATTTAAAATTATTTATTAAAAGTTAATGAGTGTTTGCAAGGTGCCAGTGGCTCACACCTGTAATTCTGGCTACTCGAGAGGTGGATGTTGGGAGGATCAAGGTTCTAACCTCATCCGAACCAATAGCAAGGCATAGTGACATGCACTTGTCATCCCAACTACATGGGAGACTGAGATCAGGAGGATAGTGGTTCCAGGCCAGCCTGAGCAAAAACAAGTTCATGAGACCCCCATCTCAACAGAGAAATCTGGGCATCAGGTGGTGTGCGCCTGTTATTGCAGCTACTGTGGGAAGTGTAAATAGGAGGATGGGGGTCCAAGCTTGGCAGGACAAAAAGTGAGAACCTATCTTAAAAATAACCATCATGAAAAGAGCTCAAGTGGTAGAGCACCTGCCTAATTATCATGAAGCCCTGAGTTCAAGCCCCAGGACTCCGTGCAGCATGTGCATGCACAGACACACACACACACAACCCACAAATTAATGGATGCTTATTCAAATTATTTCAATTACCAGGATAAATCTTTTTTCAAAATTTAGTTACTTAATACTTCTCTTCCTGAGGTAGAGGAAGGAGCACCAGGATTCTTATCGTAGACTTTCTAGAGTTTTATCATCACCATAAAGACACTAACTACTCTGGAAAGTTTAACTTTAGTACAAGATGCATATGATGGGGTTATGTACTAATAAACCCATTGCAAGTTGAAATTATTCTGTGTAGATATATTTAGTACATAGCCTACCAAACATCACAGCCTAGGAACACAGTTCACTGTAGAGTGTCAGTTGTTTCCCTTGTGATCACATGGCCGACTGGGAGCAGTGGCTTGCTGCCACTACCCAGCATCTAGAGAGTACTGTATAGCATATTGCTAGCCTGGAGAAAGATTAAATTCAAAATTTGAAGCATGGTTTCTACTGAATGCTTATTGATTTGTAAAGTCAAAAAATCGTTAAGTGGAACTATTGTTAAGTCAGGACTTTCTGTGTTCTCTCTGACTGTAGCTTCATATTTTTCTGCTCCTAGATACCCTCACACATACTATATCTGATCTATTTAATTTGTTTATGAATCTCCTACCATTACTTCCTTTCCAGCCTAGACTGCATGGTTTATCAGTATTCAAACTTCCTATGTTTGATGGCTCTGACTCAGGTGTTTGTGAAATGTCAACCTTGAGTCCTTCCTATAAATCTCCATACAAGCACCCTGAAGAAAATAGCACAAAGTGACACACAGCAGATTCTTACTTTCCAACTTCACTCTTTCGCTGTTTCTTAACAATTCCTTAATTTATTATTAGTAGGTTTCCTATCCTATAACTTTCAGTGATTTATCACAAACTTTACCACCTTCCTCAATCCCCTTTTCAATTTCAACTCCTCTCTTTATTAGAAGGTTAAATCACCATAAGAAAGTAGAAAGAAGAAAAATGGAGGGGATGAACCAATTTGGACATATATATATATATATATGGAAATGTCACAAGAGAACTCCCTGTATAGCTATCTTAAACAAACAGTCATTTTTTTCTTTTAAAAAAATCAAAGAACAGGAGAGCAAAACAGGTCCTGTCTGGGGGTGGGGTTTGTACCACTGGGGGCGGGGGAGGATGTAGGGAAAGGGTATAGGAGGGTGAATATAGTGCAAATAGTATGTACACATGTATGTAAATGAAAAAATGAGACCTGTTGAAACTATTCCAGGAATTGGGGGGGGGGCTTTATTTTTTTATTTATTTTTTATCTTTTAAAGATATAATATGCTTTATTATTATTTTTTCTTTTATTATTCATATTTCTCCCCCCTGCCCCCACCCCCTCCCTTACCACCCACTGTGGGGGGTCTTTAAAGGAGAATGAAGGAAGGGGTGAATTCAACTATTATATACTTGATATATTGTAAGAACTCTTGTAAATGCCACAATATTCCCCAGTGCAACAATACAAAATAAAATAAAATAAAGAAAGTTAATAGATGAACCGGGGCATGGCTCAAGTGGAAGTGCTGAGTTCAATCCCCGGTACCCCTAGAGTAGTTTACAAGCTCTTAAATTAAACACATTCATGTGTATCTTCAACTTGCCTGCCTATACCTTTTCTAATTTTAATTCATGTTCCCCTTCTAGATTTCTCTTTCAAGGCTGATGACAGACTTGTAATGGATGGACCTTTGACAAGATGGGGAGGCTGAGTAAGACTGTGGCAACTTAACAGCTAGGACTTTAATATAAGTGGTATTCCTGTAGTAGCTAGTGCTTTAAACAAATCTTTTTTTTAAGTGACAAAACAATCCCAAATTGTTTTGTTTTTGACAGATAAGTAAAGATAAGAAATTGATAGAGTTGGTCTAATGTATGTAATAGGAGTAGATGAAATACTAAGACTGAGCCTTACTTTCTGCTTGCCATCAGTCACCCACTAGTTTAACTATAGGCTCCCTAGGGACCACAAACATTTCCAGTACTCTCTTTCTACTTAAATGAGAAAATTAAAGCCATCTTGCCTCCCAATTTCCCTCAGTGCCACATTTATCTGTTCCTTTCTTACTTGTCTATGTCAGAAGTACTTCCTCCACCAGTGCTATTAATCAGTGGTTCTCTTTCTAGACCCCTCTGTTACATTTGATACAGTTGATCAGTCCCTCCTTGAAACCTAACTTCTTTTGCATCTCTGCCATTTTTTCTACTATTCTTATACATCTTAGCAGGCTCCTTTTCTGACTGACCTTTAAAAAGGATTTCTCAGAGTTCCAACTTTGAGTTATTTTTCTATCTTCCTGTCATGTGGTATCCACTCATTGTTTTGACC